GTATCTGGTGTTTTTTCGACCACCGCCATCATCATAATACAATCATCATTATAATTTTTATTACATTGTTATATTGTTATTATTAGATCATGCGTTAAGTTAATTAAAAACCTGAAAATTTCAATTTTTTTTTAATACGAATTTACTATGAATTCAGGAAAAAGGGTAACAGCAACAGCTACGACGACGACGGCGAAGACTGCGACAATGATGACGATGACGGTAATGAAAATTCATTGAAAGTTTTGAAAATAAATCGCAATGAAATTAATAAATCTTAATTTTGCCAACACAAAAACTAAAAAAAAAAAAATTCTAAGATGCCTAGAAATTTTTTTTGTTGTTGTTGCAAACAATAACAACTAGTTTCTAAAGAAGAATTTATTCATTTTTTATGATTTTTTTTTTGCTGTTCATATAATTGCAATATTTATTTCATTTTTTGTAGCTTTTGAAAATCCTTGGAGAATCTAATAAGTATCATAGAAAAAAAATGTCGCTATGTACACACACGTATATATTAAGAACAGATAAATGTACAATCATGATGATAATATGTATGCAATGAAAAATTAGATAATAGAAATCCTCAAAAGAATTTGTATTCATTTTGTGTTTTTAATAAAGAGAGAAAAAAAATTGACGGAATTCCTACTTTTTTTCCGAAGGCATATAAGACATATCCGAGACATTTTTTTTCCTGATGAGAATCCAAAAATCGAAATTATGATGACATCAATTTCGATTGAAATTTATCATTAAAATATCATGCTGTTAATGACGATGATGATGGATAATTGAATTTAAGGAAATTAATTGATTGATCGATCGATTGATCAAAATTTTTGAGCATTTTTATTTCCGCTATTATTTTACTTACATTTGGTAATCATGAAATAATCATGGGACAATACACAATCGTGCACACACACATACACACACAAACAATATATTCAAATTCAAGATGAAAGATTGAAGCAAAAAAGAAAAACTGATTCCAACAATCAACAAAGTTAATCAGTTGTTGATGCTAATTATATGGAAATACTATTCTCTCTTTTTTTTGACAAAAAATCATTTAAATGGAAATTTTACACACTTTTTAATAATGAAACATTTGAATGTTTTTTGCTTCAACAAAATTTTATTTGACATCTTTTAAATCATCGTTGTTGTCGTATTTCAAATTATTTTAATGTTCAAATCATGTTTTTTTTTACCAAAAATCCAAATATAAATGAAGTGAATGTGAAAAAACAAGTTGTTAAAATATAATTGAAAATTTTTCATTCATATTTTTTTCCGTTGTTCTAGTTGCATATGTTTTGAATTTGTGAAAAAAAAAACAAATTCCCCAATATATTATCAACCGAGTATATTGCCGAATAAGTGAGAATATGAATGAGAGAATCGAAACAAATGAACAAAATCAAATCAAGTTTTGATTGTTTGATGGATGAACGGATGGATATATTAATTTATATCAAATCACACACACACACACACAAACACACACAGCGGCAGACAGTTTAGATAAATTATTATTATTATTATTATTAAATTGGAAAAATATTACTGCTTTTAGCAACATGATTTACTTCATACGATGTGCAATAACAGACTGAATGAATGAATCGATGGTTGTATGTTGAATTGATATTCATAAGAAAATCAGAAAAGAAAAAAAAATTCTTGCAACATCACTTGCACTATATACACACACGCACACACACACACACACACATATATACTCTTTAGGTCAATTCTATATTTGAATTTTCTATATGTTCTATCATTCCGGCTACAAATACATACACATTTATGCTATATGTAGGGAAAAGAATTTTCTTTTTGTTTCTGGAGTTTGCGTCGTAAATTTCCTTTTTTTTCTATTGATGAAAATGCTGCCATTTAATCGCTAAACGTCTATCTCTAAAGGAAAAATTCAAAAATTATTCTGTTCAAACTTTGAATCAAACTTACTTACATTTACAGATAGATTTAGCACAATTTGTTGATTTTTTCTGTTTTTTTTTTACTCATTGTTTACAATTTTCATAAATCAACATTTAACATAACACATCCGATCATACTGATGATGATGATGATGATGATGAAAATTGAAATTTCCAATAAAAGTTGTAATCATCAATTAGAAAATAGGAGAACAATATCATTTATCGATGAAGTGGTGATGAAAATCGGAAGAGAAAAAAAAATGGACGAAAATAAAAATAATGAAATTCAACAGCTAAAATGCCAAAATTATTACACACTTACATTCTTATGATGAATCATGATTATCAATATATAATATTCATCATAAGAAATTATTATTCTTTTGATTTATGATCCATGATGAGTATATATAGGAATATTCTACTATAATGGCCTTATCATTATCTTCTTTATGATATTGAAAATACTTATTGTTTATTCGGGTCATAATCATTATTATTATTATTGTTTTTTTTCTTAGTTTTCTTAGGTTCAAATATATATATATATATTATCATTATTTACATCATCATCACCAAACCAAAAACAGTAAATAAAATGTATATTTATGTATGAACCCCTACTACAAGAACTGAAAAGAGATGAAAAAAAATTGCTTTCTCATGAGATATGAAAACGATATTGTTGTTGTTGTTTTTAAGTGTGTTTTTTTCTTTGTCCTTGATTATGAATTAACATCCTAACCACATATGTTGTGTTAAATCAAATAATCATCATGTTGTTGCATGATTATGAGGAACTAACAAAAAAAATGGAAAAAAAATGAAAAAAATGATGATTATCATCATGAATATTATTATTATTTTTTTCTTTCTTCGAAAAGAATTTTCATTATCTATTTTTTTTCATTGATATTATGTGAATGCTGATGGCGATGACGAAATTATTCATTAAGTTGTATAATAACCACAGAATATAGATTTTGATGGAACATTTTTTTTTTGCTCGATTCTATTCTATCTGTGTATCTTTATATGTGTGTGTGTGTGTGTGTGTGTGTTTGTCCATACGATCAATATCAACACATATACACACAGCACTATTAAGAGATTCTTTTGTATTGCCCAGTGTCTTCTGAATCAATATGGAATCCAATGTTGATCCAATATGCATACTGATGATACACAGGCTGATGAATCAATAAACAAAAAAAAAAAGAAAGAAAGAAAATCGCAAATGTTCTGTTTACAAATATTTTTTATTATCATTTTTTTATTCATTTATCATTCAAAATTCTAAAACATGAAACAACGATTCATTATGTTTTTTTTCTGCAACAAAATTGTCATTTTTAATGTGATTATTATATTTACAGATAACAAATTTTTTTTTGTGTTGTTTTATTTTTTAAAAATGATAATTATATCAACAAAGCAATAATTAATAGTAACAACAACAACAACGACAACGATGACAACAATCACAATAATAAATGAAATGAAATTTTAAAGAAGAAAAAAAAAACAAGAAACTGAATGAAAAAAATTTTTTTTTCGTTCAAAATCAATTATCTTGTCGATTATTGTTTTCCATCTACACACACACACACACACACACATTCGCACTCAAACACATACTTGAATCAATCAAACATTCATCTTTTTTTTGAAATATACAAAATTTACGTGTTTTGGCTATGAATTTCTTGGGAGTTTCTCGTTTTTGTTGCGCCAAATTTAGATAAATGGTGTCCAATATATTTATTTAGGTGGTAATGTTGATTCAATGATGATGATGATGATGACGTGCAATGAATTTAAATTTCGAAATTTTCTTCATTTATAAATTGGCTATTAACGATGTATGTGTGTGTGTGTGTATGTGCGTGTGTTTATTTGTTGTTTGTTTTGTGTCCATTAGACCAGATCATTATTGGGAATGAGAAATGTTGATAAAGAGTGTGTGTGTGTGTGTGTGCTAGTGAGAATGTGAAAGAAATAAGGAAAATTTTCCAACAATCATCAAACAACAAACGACAAACAAACAAACAATATGTGAAAATGTTAAAAGATTTATATTTTTGGAGCTTAAATTGCCAGAATTTTCTGTTCTTTTTTTTTATTTTGAAATTCAAGAAAAGAAAAGAGAAAAAAAAATTGTTTCAACAACAACAAAAAATGACAGACAGATACAGCAACTGGCATGCAACGAATATATTGATTGTATCGATTTCAAAGCCATTTCAAAGCCGACAGATGTGTGTGTGTGTGTGTGTACATTGGCTGATAATGTTATGCCACAACAACAATCATGTGATCGATGTGATGATAAGTCGTTTTTTCAATAGATTGAATCCATATTCACATTCTTGATACATGATTTCACACCACACACACACTTATACATTGATCAAACATTTTGATTTTGGATAAAAAAAAAATATTTTCCAATATTTTCTTCTTCTTTTCAAGCGAAATAAAGCCAGAAAAACATTTTACTTTCGAATAAAAATCCAGGCTGATGATAAATTTTCGATTTCATATCTTATTTTTTTTTATCTTCTTGAGAACAAAAAAAATTTGTTTTCGATGACCAAAATGGTGTTGAATGGTGTTCGAAGACCATGATGATGGATATCCGCTTTTTTTTAGAACCGGATGAATTGAAAAATGGCCGAAAGAAAACCCGTTGTACTTTTCCGATCTAATTTTTTCTTCTTTCTATTCATCTTCTTTTCAATAAAAATATCTTGAATGAAACCATAATCATTACAAATCAGGCCATACACACAAAGAAATCAATGACCGATGATACGAAAAAAAAAATTCTGGTTTCCTGCTTAAATCGAATGGTTACGTTTCCTTTTCATTTTATTTTTATTTTTTATTTTTTTTTTTTTGTTTTTTTTTGGCAATGTGCATTCAAGTGATTTATAAACGTACGAATAGAACAAAAAAAATGATGATAATGATGATGGTGAATGAATGAAATGATGAGAAAAAAAAAATTCTTAATGAATAGACAAGATTCAGTTTTTCAATTCTTTTTCTTTTTTTCTCTCATTTTTTTTTCTTGTTGCTCACATTTTATTCGTTCATTTGACATTTTTCATCATACAATTAAATAGCCATCACTTGTAGTACAAAGAGAGAGAAGAGAGAGAAAAGAATTTATGATAATTTCGGTTGTACAAGATTTCTTATGAAAATTCTTAACAATTCTGCAATGGTTTTTATACGTCCATGATTAATATTCATTGAATATTTTTGCCATGAATATTGATTATGATCTTTTCTTTGTACTTGTTGTTTAACATTATCATTATTATGATGATGATGATGATTATTATTATTATTTGAATCGGCGGCCATCCAAACATCTTTATCAAATGATGCGAAAAATTTCAATGCATTTTTCAATGTCTGTATGGATGCACATTCTGTATTTGTTTGTTTGTTTTTTTAAAAAAAAATCAAAAAAATGAAAAAAAAAATTAAATTTATAATTAGTTTGAATGTTATCAGGTTAATTGTTTTTGTTATCTCTCTTTTTAGTTTGGAATTTTTTTTTTGTTCGGTTCAATTCATTATTTTCCATAGAAACAAGTTTGAGAGAGAAAGAGAGTGAGTGACTAAACTTTGCACTGTTTTTTCTATCTTGGTTATTTTTAAATATTCTGGCATAAAAAAGATAAAGAATTCTCTGGGTGTTTTTTTTGCATTCTTACCATAATAAATATATCCATTATGTGCCATTTGTTTAGCCTGAACTTATCAACATTTTTAGGAATATTTTTTCATCAATATTAATTATATCATTTTCCATTATGATTGGTTTATTATTATGATTTTTAACATTCGAATGTTGTTGTTGATGATTGATACATTTTGAATCATTCATTAATTTAGTTGTCGATTCAGTTGAATCAGAATTTTGATAATGATTAGCTATTCTATCGGCAACAAACCAATATGTCTGTACATATGGTTCTAATATTGAACGATATAATGATAATAATTGACAATTTTTTTCTGTTAAACGAATATAAAATTCTTGTGGTAAATGATGATGGTGATGATTTTCATTATCATCATCATCATCATCATTCGATGATGATAAATGTTTATGATATTGATGATCTTTAATACAATCAACAACATTGATAATTTCATCATGTTCATCATCCGCATCGATTAAACGATCTTCATCAACTTCTAATATACATTCATTTTGTAATGTTACATCAAGATTTTTAAATAATCGATTACGTCTTCGTTGTCTTCTACGTGTTGGTGATAGCCAACGATTTAATCTATTAAATGATGATGATGTTGATGATAATGATGATGAATGATTCGTAACATTTTGATTTTGATGATGATGATGTTGTGGATAAAGATGATTGGCAACATCAGACATTGGTAATGTTAAACCAGTCGGTTTGTTTGGATTCAATATGAATATATCACGTTTACAGAATGAATCGATAAATGTTTTTGCTAACATTTGATCCAATGATTGACAGCTCTGTGTTTGGAATTGAAAAAAAATGGAAAAAGGAGTGAGAAACGATAAAATATAGAAAATATAATTTAAACAATTTTGAATGAATGAAAATAGAATTTTATAAACAAAACATATATATCAATCAATTAAACACATCTCTTGACATGTATATATGTCAATTACCTTGATAAAAATAAATTCATTTTGTAATAGCGAACAAATTGTACGACAACGTTGAAAAAATTCCCGTTTATTTATGGAAAGATTTGAAACAAATGTTGATGGATCATAGATGAGTGATGAGATCTCTGTTTGTTGTACAAATGAATGTAATGATATGGCTGTTTGTTTGGAAATATGAAATTTAGAATTCAAGCCACAGAATTAGAAAAAAAACCCGATGCATCATTATTTGATGATGATGATGATCGAATTTAGAAAAAAAGAGAAAAAACATCGTTTTTAAGATTCTCATCATCATTATTGAGCTAGCATGCTTGCATATGCAATGCGAACTTACCTAAAACTGATTCAAATATAAATAATGATGAACAATAATTTGAATAATGTTGTAAATGTAATAATGGTTGTAATTTATTTGATGGTTTCAAATAGATTATCTCTAATCGTGAATCCGATTTAGCATCACCACCACCACCATAATCATTATCATAATCATAATCATTGTCATCATTATTCCATTGATTTCGTTGACGATATGAATTTCTTACAATATTATTACCACCATATGAATGATGATAATATTTATTCCATAATGACCATTTAAGACGAACTTTTTCCGTTTGAATTAATTCTTCTTGTCGTAATAATTGTATCGCTTGTTTTATTAATAAATGTGAATCACCTGCGATGGATAAATTTTGTTGTTTATCACGACAAATTATTTGCCGTAACCAATCCATATCCAACGATAATTGATCGATTGTTGTACCTTTTGATCGATATTTATTCAATAATAAAAATGATACCAAATGTGTTGACATTAATGATGAATCACGATATGCATCATATAGTACATGTTTAGCTAATGAATCACAACAACGATATCTATGTTGCATTTCTTCATCACTTTTGCTATTTTCATCGATACCATTATCATTTGTGATATCGATCTTTTTCATCAATTTTGTCGCCGATAATGATAATTTATTATTCTTTTTACAGTGAGTAATTCGATCAACTGTTTATGTATATTCGTTTTTGTTTCAAATTAGAAATATAAAGAAACAAATTCCACATAAATTCAATTAATCAATTTGAAAGGTCATTTTATCACGATATTATTATAAAATAATATATCATGATTGATAATGGAAACACTTACATGATGGTGGACAAGCAACACAATCAGCCATTGTAACACCATAATCGATTGTTTGTGGAATTGGAAAATTGGATTCTGTATTATCTGAATCATTTGTAACAACATTAGTATCAGCTATATCATTTGTTTTCATTATCATTTTTTGTTCAATTTGTAATTGTCTTTGAATCTGCTGCTGTGCCATACATTGATTTATATATTCATCGAGAATAAATGGTTTTCCAAAATCTACACGCACTGTTCCATAATTGGAACGAAGTATTGACCATATTTTCATCATTGTTGTTATAAATGATGGTGCTGACGATGATGAATTGGATGATCGCTGTGGCTGTAATTCCATTTGTTCACGTACTACTAGATTAGCACCTTCAATTGATTTCTCATATGATATTGATACGGGAACAATGCAAACCTGTTGCACCGAACCTTTTGTTTTTCAATTAATAATTTGAAGAAAAAAAAATCAATTAATCATCAATTATTTGACAAATAAATCATTATAACAACATACCTTCAGCCAGTGCATCCAAAACAATTGATAATAAATGTAAATTTGGCATCAAAACTTTACCAGTTGATGTACGAGAATCTTCAAGGAAAAACTCTAATGAATTTCCTTGTCGAAGGTTTTCAATAATATATGATCGTAGTATTGCTTCATGTATTGGATCATTATCATTATCATCATGTTGATGATCAATCGTAGCATTATTTTTCATTGATCTTTTAATATTATTTTTGTTAGATTTTTTACGAATAAAAAATGCACCTAAACCACGAATAAGATTACGAAAAAATGGTATAGAAAAATGTTCACTAATAGCAATCAATGGAGGGCTAAGACCATTCATTGATAGTATGAATGTTATCAAAATACAATCCAAATATGAACGATGTAATGGTAGATATAGAATTGGTAATTCTGTTTGCTGCTGTTGTTGTTGTTGTTTTTTGTGATTATTAAATATTTTTTGCCGTTGTCGAATCTGTTCAATTTGTGCTTTACTAAATTGTACGCTATTAAACATTCTTGATAATAGACGATATAATATCCAACCGGCAATACGTAATAATGATGATGAAATACATGAACTAAGCTCTTCAAATAAATCATATGCTCGACGACGATTCTCTCGTATACATTGTTTATAATCATTTTGATCTTTTACATCTTTATGTCGAATATTTTGTTGCTGCTGCTGTTCTGGATGTTTTGTTGTTTGTATTTTCATATATTGATCACAGGAAACATGTTCAATTGCTCTTGTAACAGATTCAGATTTAAGAACATTTTTTCTTACATCAGGATAATTATGATCAATTTTTCTTGTAATCACATGCCATGCATAATAGAATGTCAATGAAATGATATTTTCATAGCTAAATTTTATACAAATTTTAAATTGGCAAAAAAAATTATGTTTTCATTATTTGATGACAACTACAACAGAAATAAAATTTATATATATATCTATCTATATCTCACCTTGTTTGACTTGATGAATTTGTCGAAATAAGATTATTATTATTACCATTAACAACATTCGAATCGGATTGATTCGAAATGTTTTGTTTGAAAAAATTCTGTATATAATTCAGAAACCAATCCGAAATCATAACCAACATTGTGAACATTTTTTTTTTTTTTTTTTGGTTATAAAATTCTTTTGGGAAAAAAAATAATAATAACTCATACACAATATTGATGAATTGAGATTTGGTTGAGTAATCGGTGTTTTTTTTATACGGAATCAGAATCCAGAATGGTAGAATGAAAATTAATTTTCATTAAAACTGTCGAAGAATCATGCACACACACATGCACGCACAAAATTTGTCAAAGTTTTTTGCATTGATTTATTCAACGTTACTTTTAATGGTCTACCATGAATGAATGAATAAATAAAAATGAACAACATGAAGATGTTTGGCGCCGTTCAATATACATTTGTTTGTTTGTTTTGTTTTGTTTTATTTTTCATTGATAATGGATACATGTCATTATCATCAACAATAAATTACACATGAATAATTGCTATGATGGATATATTTATATCGATAATAATTGTCGATTATCGATATTGATTATTGATTATTGATCATTGATGAATTGATACCAATAATTTTTTTTATCAGTATATATCATACATTAAAAATCAAATCAAATCATTGATGATGATGCAAAAAAAAGTGGACAAATGAAAAAAAAAATGTTCAATCCATCAAAATTCATTTTCTACAACATATGCTATGTTGATTTTATGTAAGAATGTTTTTTGGTAAAATTGTTCATGTTTTATATACATGATGGTGATGATGACACAAAACAATGTGCGTGTAAGTGTGTGTGTGTGTGTGACAATTAATAAATTGATTTTTTCATTTTCATTGACAATGATGATAAGATGATGGTGCACTGGTGGAAAAAAAAATGAAAATGAAGATAAAATAAAATTGAAAAAAATAAATTGTCTGAAGAATAAAAATTGATATTGATATATTTCAAGACTATGAATGAACGAACGTATTTTTTTTTTTTGCTTTCAAACACACACACACAGTGATTATCAATTATCGGATGAGTTTTTCTGGTAATTCATCACAATCAATCGATTGATTAATCAATTAACTAACCAACCAACCAATCAATCAATGGTAACTATGAAAGTTATTTACAGTGAAAAAAATAAAAAATAGCCGATGATATGTGATGTTGATCATCAAATATTACAAACACACAGAGTTTTTAAAAAAGCCTACTTATACAAGGAATGAATGAATAAGTAAAAAAAACGAATCACACATGTACACACATACAACACAATTTTAATTGATTATCTATTATGTCATAGAATTGATAATCGAGGAACAACAACAACAAAAAATATGTAAATCAATCAATCAATAGATGAATTTCTTCATCATTGTGTTTTTTTTTCGTTGTATTTCGCTGATTCAATTGATGACAAACAACACAACGACAATGATGATGATGATGATGATGATGATGATGTTCACGTGGACAAAATATTTTCAGTAAATAAATGTAGAAAAAAAACGAAAAAAAAATTTACAAGGAAATTTGTCAGGATTTTTTTTTTTCACTCAATTTGCTACTATTAACCAGAAAAACGGCTAATTGGTGATGTTCGCTTTGAATTGTCATCGAATGGGAAAAATTTTTTTTTTTTTTTTTTGGTTATGTCAAGATTTCTTTTTCTTCTTCTTTTAGCGGTAAATGGATACGAATTATTGATGATGATGATGATCGTTTGTTTGTTTGTTGCTAACCGATTCGTTAGCCAAATTTTAAATGAACCAAAATTATTCAATTACATTTGGCTTAATAAATATGATTTTGGCATCAGCTGGTTAATGGATGATGGTGAATGGTGATGATTTGATTTTTTTTTTTTTTTTGTTTATCATTATTTTTCTTCTACCCTTTTTCATTCACTATATTGTTGTTGTGATGATGATGATGATGATGATAATTGCGATTTTTTTTTTCATTTATAAATCAAATAATAATAATTTGATTGATTGATTGATTGATGATACGATTCAATGAATTGAAATAATGATAAGTGGAAAACAAAATGCGAATAGCCACATGAAAAAAAATTCAACTGTATGAAGCACTGATTGTAATTGTAATTTTAATTTTTCGTTGTTTGATAAAATATTTTCATCAAATAAACAAACAAAAAACAAAACAAAACAAAACCCGCAACAGAAGCAGAAGCAGCAGAAGTAAAATTTAAAAATTTTTTTCCAATATTTTACAATACATCACTACGATAATTGTTTTGATTATTTATTTTTCTCAAAAAAAAAAAAAAAAATGATTATTATATCGATCTGACCTTTCACCGCATAAACACACACACACACACACACACACAAAAATATATAAACACTCAAAATACTGTTGGCCTTTGCTGCTGCTCCAGAAAAAATCGTCCTAAATATATAATAATAGTATGCTTCTTCAATGTGTTTGTGTGCCACTGTGCATTTTGTGTGTGTGTGTGTATTCCACGTGTGTAACATGACCCCCAAACTTTGGCACGTAGGCTATTTATACATACATATACATGCTATAAATTTACTGAATCGAAAAATAATAGGGAATGATCAATATAATTATCATCATCATCATAATATATGAATGTTTTTTAAAAAAAAAAATTTGCCTTTCGAATGAATGTACTTATCAATGTAACAAATGAATGAAGCAAGTTGTTGAAGAAAATGTACAAAATATCGATCATTGATTGTCGTATCAAATGAAAAAAAGAAAGAAATAAATTATTGAGTCTGTTGATTCATCATCATCATTCAAAAATCAGGAAATAAAACAAATTGTAATGTGGAATATTTAAATTTAAAATTTTCCGTTACCTTTTATTCATTTCAATGCCGTTTATTCAATGAAAATAAAGGGTACACAACATGTTCAAATCGAAATTGATTGATGGATTGATTTTATTTTACATGAAAAAAAATTAGGCAAAAATCTCACATACACACACAATGATTGATTGTGGTCGACTCTAGTAATCGTTGAACAAAACAAACAAACAAAAAAAACAAAATTCAATTTAAAAATGAATTGTATTTGAATAAACAAAACAAAACAAAAAAAAACTTTTGGATAATTATCAATCGAAAAAATGATCATAACGACGAATAAACATAAACATAAACAACAACAACAACAAAAAAAATTGTCGCCAACTTTAATTTGCAAATTATTATAATTTGTTAATCAAATATCCGGTTTTTCAATGTATTTTAATGTGTACATTAATAGCGTAGCGGTCATTGGTTTGAAAAATTTTTTTTTTTCTAAATTATAAAAACTAAAACTTTTTTTTTATATATACAACTGGGTATAGATTTTTAATTTTTATTTTTCCTCCCATTCATTCATCACATTCATGATGATTGTAGAATATCCGGCAATTCTTTTTTGCGTTTTGTTTCCTGTGTAGGCTTCTGTTTTTTTTTCTCATTTCAATAATTCACTGTTCGAAACAAATCCTTTTTCATCATCATCATCATCATCATTCATTGTTAATGTTTTGCTTTGTTGCGATCAATTTCTTCGAGATTTGATTGACAAGTTATATTTAGTATTGATTTGATTTGATATAACTTGGAAAAGATTTCATCAGCTCATTTATCGTTGTTTTCATTTTTTTTTGTTTTGTTTTTTTTTTTTTTTTTGGTTTCCTGGAATCATACAAGTATAGGTTAGTTAGGTTTTGGCCATCAAATATTTGATATATTTTTTTTCGTTTCATACTTTGTATCATTCGATTTGCGAATGTGTGTGTGTGTGTGTGTGTGTTTCGATATTTGATTGGAATTTTTTTTTTTGATACTTTTTTTCACCCACTCTCTCTCTCTCTCTCTCTCTCACTTTTCTTATGATGCCATGTTATAACCAATCAAACACGGTCAAATTGATGAACAACTGACGACAAATCATTTATTGATAATGATGATTAGGATTTATTTTCCTGGTTGCCAACTTAAATTCAAAGATGATAATAATGTCTTCATCATCATGGCCAACATTTCCGTTTATTTACCTGGAATATATGATTATTATGTATTTTTTTTTGTCTACTAATTCTCTCTATCAAATATTCAAATCTACTTAAATATTCCATAATGAGATAGAATTGATCATTAGTGGAAAAATGAAGACAATTTCTCGGTCCGGTATATATGACCAATGATCATTATTGTCGTTGTCGTTGTTGTTGTTGTTGATATTTGGAAATCAAATATCAAATCATTACATCTTACATACTGTTCTGTTCTGTTTTTTTTCTCTTTCAATACGATTTTCTATTGAAAATGGATTTTTTTTCTGAATGTTAGAATGTGTAACCTAAAAAAAAAGAGAAAAAATGTACATCTTTTTGCCATCATCAACGTCATCATTATAATAGATTTTAAACAAGAATTAAGGCCAAATATTATTTTTTTTCGGATAGATTATGTAGCCGTATTTACGCGCGTGTACGTGCCATGTTTGAATCAAACATGGATGTACTCATATAGAAAATTTTTCCTATTTGTTTGTTTGTTTGTTTATTTGTTTATTTATTTTTTACTTGTTTATCAATTAAATTTCAATTTTTCTGTTCTTTTTTTTCATCAAATGACTCTGCATTTTATTTGATTATCATTGATTTAAAATCAATTCATATCGATACCACACACACACACACACACACACATGTATTCGAAAATCAAATGAATTGTGACAATATATATTGATTCATTTGATTCGGAAATGTTTTAATAACAAATGTATGCATACGATTTGTGTTTATTTGTTTGTTACATTTGTACATTTTGCAAATGATACATGAATGTACAACAAATATATGCACATGATAATGATGAATGTTGGCTGTTGTGTAGTTTTTTTCTCCGTTCATTGTTTCATACAAATATTTTTTTTTTATCAATGAAATGGTTTTTTTCTGGTTTTTTTTCTTTGTATAGTATAACCGATGAAGAAAAAAAAATTCCGGAATGTCAGCCCTATTTTCATTTTTTTTTTTCATTTGCCCGCCCGTCCATGGAAAAGTTGCAAATGTTATCGTTTTGTTTCTCAATTTTTTTCATTTTATTTTTATTGTTCATCGTTATTGTTAGTTGTTTGGT